ACCAAGTTACTCACCCAACAGAGCCCAGCCGCCTTCGACATCTCCCTCTCGACAGCTTATTTGCTTCAAATGCAATCAACCAGGGCACTTTGCAAGGGAATGTCCCCGTAATGTTCCTCAATCTCCTACGCGCAATGTCACCTAAGCACTTAGGTCTCCCTCTCCTGCTCGCAAACATGAGGCTCTCCCTTTAAACGGTTAGAGACCGGTTGTGTGGGCCACCAATCGGTTAATAACGAATCCAATGGCCAACCAAAACAGTTACATCAGTCAAATTCATGCATACGTATACAGGAAACTTGCTCTCAGGTTACCCCTCCAGATAAGTTAAGTGAGATCAACTTTTCTACTAATCCTGGTATCAGCTTGGTCATTCCCGTCCAGGTGCAGGTGATCCATACACACGCCGTAGTCGATACAGCAGCACAAATTTCCCTGATCAACCAAAACTTGTGGGAACAAATTAAAAACCCTCCACAAATAACTGAAAGTGTGATTCTCCGAAACGCAGAGAAATCCAGTACTATGGTGGCTCAGAAAATACCAGACATGAAGCTAACACTAGGGGGCCAATCTTTCATTTGGAATTTATTCTTAGCACCGATCGAGGATGCATTCATTCTGGGGTTAGATTTCCTTAAGGCGAATGAAGGGAAAATAAATTTAGTTGATGATACAGTGACATTGAAGGACAAGCCGATCCAAGCACAAATGAGACAGAACAAAAGCGAGAGGTACTCCGTACATAACATAGTGCTCGATAGAAAAATCGTGGTGCCCCCTAATAGCGTCGTTAGAACTAAAGTTAAACTCCACGGAGATAGAGAAAAGACCTACCTCATCCATGGCCCAGAGCAGACCATAAGGAACTCCTTATTCCATACACACTTGTTTCACTAAAAGATACAGATCCAAATATCACAACAGTGCCAGTTCTGATGAGAAATGATGGTGACCGTTATGTACACTTGAAAAGGGGACACAAAGTGGGAAGGGCAGAGGAAGTGTATCCAGTCAGTTCTGACGACCGAGCCAACCAGTCAGTGGAGGACCAGACCCCGCACACAGCAGAGTCTATTCCTCCACTTAACATGGAGACCAGCAGTTGTTGGACTCCATGTGAAAGTCAAGTTAGACAGGTTAATGAACTCCCTCCCCATATTGTGGATCTCTGGAATAGATCTTGTGTACATCTCTCTCAAGATCAAGCCCGCACTTTAGCCTCTACATTAACAAAGTATGCTGACGTTTTCTCAAAAGGTGACATGGACCTCGGAAAATTGTCAGAAATAAAGCACCATATTCACACTAGTGATGCCCATCCTATCAAACAGAAAATGAGAAGAACGCCGTTAGGGTTTGAAGAAGAAGAAAAAGCACATTTAGAAACCCTTAGTGAAGCCGGAGTAATAACCCCATCTACCTCGGAATGGGCTTCCCCTCCTGTTCTAGTGAGGAAGAAGGACGGCAAAGTTCGTTATTGCATAGACTACAGGGCATTAAACCAAGTCACTGTCAAAGACGCCTTCCCATTGCCAAATATCGATGAATGTTTAGATGTCTTGGGAGAAAATGAGTTCTTTAGTACGCTGGATATGTGTAGTGGCAATTATCAAATAGAACTAGCAGAAGAGGATAGACATAAAACTGCTTTCGTAACCAAGTATGGCTTGTTTGAATACCAACGCATGCCGTTTGGGTTATGCAATGCGCCCGCCACATTCCAGCGTGCTATGACTCTAATCCTTAGAGGGCTTACCTGTACAGAAACCCTAGCCTACCTAGACGATATCATCATTCTAGGCAAGAATTTTGCAGGCTCAATGGGAAATCTTATCACGGTATTAGAAAGGTTCCGTAAACATAACCTAAAACTAAAGGCGAAGAAATGCCACTTGTTTCAACGGGAAGTACTATTCCTAGGGAAGTTGGTCAGCAATCGTGGAATCACCCCTAACCCAGAAAGCATATCTGCTGTTCAGGATTGGCCTACACCAAATTCTTCTAAAGAGGTACAAAGATTCCTAGGTCTTGTAAATTACCACAGGTCGCATATCAAACACTTGGCTGAATTGGCGCAACCGTTGTACGAACTGACTAAACATCACACAGTATTTGTTTGGATGGAAGAACACCAACGAGCTTTTAACCAATTGAAATCTGCTCTAACCACAGCCCCAGCCCTCTCATTCCCACGAAACAACGGAGAAACATTCGTCTTAGACACAGACGCGTCAAATACTGCGATAGGAGCGGAGCTTATTCAAATGCAAGACGGTAAGGAAAAAGTAATCTGTTACGCCAGCTACACACTCACTCCCGCGCAGCGCAAGTACTGTACGACACGTAAAGAACTCCTAGCCCTTGTCCGGTTCACACGGCAGTTCCGCCATTATCTGCTTGGTAGAAGATTTTTTGTTCGAACAGACCACAGTAGTCTAGCCTGGTTAATGAACTTCAAACACCTATCGGGAATGCTTGCGAGGTGGATTGAGGAACTTAGTCAGTATGACATGGTTGTCACTCACCGAAAAGGACTGAAACATACAAACGCTGACGCACTATCGCGTATACCAACTGACATTCCGTTTTGTAACTGCTATACAGCAGGTACTGATATCGGAAACCTTCCCTGTGGCGGTTGCAAGTTTTGCACACGTGTCCACTCCCAGTGGGAACGTTTCGAAGACGACGTAGACGATGTTCTACCACTCGCGGTCCGCCAGACAAATACCGCGAATACGACTGACCATTTTATTGAAGTAGACAGCAAAGGATCTACCTGTGACGACCGGCACTCGCCGGACGTCGAGGAATCCACATTGTTTACAAAGTACACTCGTGCCCAGTTAAGATCGGCTCAAATGGAAGACAAAGACTTAAAATATCCGATACAATGGATTGAAAATTCACTTGTTCCTGAGCAGAACGAACTTCAAATCTGCTCCCCCACTGTCAAATACTTGTGGTGTAACTTACCACTCCTTCGGGTAGAAAATGGAGTCCTGTACTATAAGTGGGACGAAGCCCCCTCTTCCAGATTACTTTTTGTGGTCCCTTCAAAGCTCAGACAAGAAGTGATGAGCCTGTGCCATGAAAATAAGCTAGCTGGCCATCCCGGAATGAATAGGACGTTGCAAAAAGTCAGACAATCCGCTTTCTGGCATGGCATGACAGGTGATATTTCACGCTTCGTAAAATCTTGTACAGAATGCAACATGTACAAAAAAACATCTAGAAAAGCTAAAGCCCCGATGTCCCTGTACCATGCAGGAGCACCACTCGAGCGTATTCACCTTGACATTTTAGGTCCATTCACACCATCACAAGCCGGTAATAAATACATCCTGATGCTTGTCTGCCAGTTTACAAAATGGATTGAGGCATATCCCCTCCCAGATCAAAAGGCGGAAAGAATAGCCAAAGCTGTGGTGGACAATTTCATATCACGGTTTGGTTGTCCCCTCCAAATTCATACCGACCAAGGCACCAATTTCGCCAGTTCTCTTTTCCAAGCCGTTTGTGACTTGTTAGATATAGCTAGAACACGCACAACACCGTACCACCCTAGCTCTAATGGTCAAGTGGAAAGATATAATCGCACCATACTACAAATGATAAGATGCTATCTGAAGGGAGACCATACAAAATGGGATGAAGACCTCCCCATCCTCACTGGCGCTATCCGCGCCCTCCCAGACCGTACAACAGGTCTCACTCCAAATCTGATGATGTTGGGGAGGGAGGTGAGACAACCCCTTGACCTGGTCTTTAATACTAAAGACAATAACAATAAAAGCAACCAACCGCACGAATACGTAACAGAACTTGGAGAAAGGTTGAGCACAGCCCACAGCCTGGCAAGGAAAACAATCAGGGGTTCCCAACAATATCAAAAGAAGTACTATGATTATTCAAAGAACCAAAGCACTTATGGGGAAGGAGATGTGGTATACAAGTTAAACAAGACTCACAAAACTGGTCAATCAAGTAAACTTCAGTCAATTTGGCAGGGTCCTTTCCTCGTTACGGAGGTGCTTTCCCCCTTGTTGTACCGCATAAAAGGTAAAAAGGCAAGCACAGTGGTACATCATGACCTTATAAAAAGGTGCGAGGACAGGGAAATACCATTTTGGCTGCGGAGACAACGCAGTAAGTTTCTAAGTAGCGAAGCACCAGTTGAAAAGGAAGATCAACCACTTGATATAGAGATTGATTCGTTGTTCCAACCTGACCCAGATTGCCAGGTCGGTAAGACTGTCTCCACACGGAGCGGGAGACTCATCAAAACCCCACCCTCCCTAGGTGACTACCACTTGTATTAAACAATTCTGACTCTTTTAGCACACACACTCATATAGACTCTGTTAACCGGCATTAGCTGGGGAACGAACATATAGAACATGATTACTTAAAAATGTTTTTCATCAGCAGACTTCTATCAAAAGAGGAATAATGGAGGAGGCAGATTTTGTACCAGATTATACAGAGACCAGCGACGAAGAGCAACAGCTACCCCCTCTAGAACCAATCGAACCACCTCTATTGTCGCCAGAATTACAGGAACACCCTCTAGCGTCCCCTATACCACCGAACATGCCGCAGAGCGAGTCGGGAAGCGACATACCTGCATTGAAAGGGGAGTCCTCACCATCTCTGGAACTACCAGGGACTCTGGCAAACAAGAAGATGAAGAAGAAACAAGAGTGTCCTCAACCTGAGTGCGCCCATTACACCCACAAGCTTAAGAGACATGTCATCAGACAACACATCTGCGACCGCAACTGGTGGTTTCTATACCCATTGGTGGCGTGCTGGGAGTGCCGGCATTGGGAGATTGCTGCTCATGTACAACACCAGATCGTCACCTTCCGGAGCTAGTGAGTCTGGTAAACACATTCCTTCAGTTCATTTGTAACCAAGTGGGGCTGGGGGGCTCCAGTGAGTTGCTGGATTTCGTCGCTCTGCATCAGTTGGGCGACGAATATTCAACATACACCATGGATGAATCTCGCGTGTGGGACGCGCACGATGATTACGTAGGCTTGGCTACAAAACCGGAACGCAATCTACAACGTCCCACACGCGTCTCCTCTGTGTTCCACTGGAGGACCCTACAACGCCTCCTGCTCTGGAATTCCTCTTGGCCTGCCACCACGGGGTTTGTCGACGCACATTGCCACCTTGACAGGTTGTTCAACGCCACCGGACACACCGGGTGCCTAGTCGATTTCTTTTGTCGCTCTGGTATCGAAACGCACGACTTCACAGGCTGTATAGCAGTTTTCTGTGATGAGGCCACCCTGCGTGACTCTGAGAGAGTCAAGGAGCTTGTTTCCGACGAAAACGTATTCGGTGCCGTGCGATTCCACCCCAAAAACGCCCAAAATTTCACCCAAGACGCCGAAGCTGTCATTCGTTGTCTCCTAAAACATCCAAAAATCTGTGCCTTGAGTGAGATAGGGTTAGATTATGCAAGAGGACATGACCGGCATACGAAGGCTCAGCAGTCGGTCTTTCGGCGGCTGTTGGGAGTTTCTGTTGAGCTTAAGGTGCCGGTCGTGATCCATTGTCGTGATGCTGAGGAGGACTGTTTCAAGATCGCTCTCGAGTCACTTCCCAGGTATCATCATATACACCTCCATTGCTACATGCGAAACTGGGAAGGGGCCCGGAAGTGGTGTGATGCTTTCCCGAATCTGTGTGTGGGGCTTACAAATGCTGTCACCTGGGGGAACCCTGGCCCGAGGAGTGTGGCTCAGCACATTCCTCTGGACAGGCTGCTCCTCGAGACTGACGCCCCATACTTTCCTCCTAGAACCCAGGAAACGGTCCACTTCAGCGTCCCGACGATGGCCCAATTTGTGGCGGAGGAGGTGGCGCATATCAGAGACATCCCCAAGCAGGAGGTGTTTTCTCACACTCTGAAGAACACTGAATGGGTATATGGAGTGAAATTCCGAACATAACTGAATCAGCCATCTGAAGACTACTCATCCACTGTTCGCTGGACCAGGATGACCGCTGGAACCTTATGCTGGACCCTAATGCCCATCGGACCTTGAAGCTCGCTCACAGGATTAATTGATTGCGAGAAATCCCAGACCGATATGATTTATATCTACATGTATATGGTAAACAAGAATGACTGTAGGATGTTGTTCCCGACCACAGTAAACTTGTCATGAAGTAATGTCATGTTCTAATGATTGTATTTAACAATAGAAGTGATTTTTTTTTAATGCCAGTCGCTGTATAAAAGGTTTCGTACTGCAACATCTGTCCAAAAAAAGAACAAAAGAAAAAAAAAGATGGACATTTGTTTATACATAAACTATAGAAATATGTTTATGGAGTGTTTATTCTTCATTTTTCTGTCTTCTTTATTTATTGAATAGTTATAGGTAAGAAGGAAAAGTTATATGGAGGTATGTTATACAGAAAGTATAGAAATATGTTTATGGAGTGCTTATTCTTGTTTTTTGTTTTTTCTTCTATTTTGTTTTTCTCTCTCTCTATATATATATTTTATTTTATTGTTATTTGAAAGACAGAAAAGTTGTATTTTAACCAAAAAGCGAGAAAAAAAGAGAAGATAATCGCTACAGTGAAATGTTAAACAACAACAGAAAATAGTATGTTGAGGAGGTGTGTAGTATTATTGTAGGAGCCATGTGGAAAGAAAAAAATGTGATAAGGAAGAGAATAACATATTCGGGTAAAAAAAAACAAAAATAAAATAAATTAAAAAAATATGACGGGGAGGAGTGTAGTATATTACGCAATAAACCACTCAGGCGTGTCCGTGGCTGTGCGGTTCACCCACACAGACACGAGGGCAGTCTGGTACATAGCACACTTGAGTGACGACGTCATTTTGTCCTGTGTAGAAGACTCTGTCCTGTGCACGAGACTCTGTCCTGTGTACTGGACTCAACACGCCACCAGCTAGGTAAGCGTCGCTTGTGGCCAATACAACAATACACTTGGTATCGTGGAATTGTTCATATTATGCGGCATTTGGGATTGCAGACCAGTAAATAAAACTCCATAGACCCCAATGGTAAATGCTCCCATTTCAGAAATTCGGGAAAACAAATACTCACAGTTCTCCTTGGTATTCGAGACACACATCAAATTAAAGCTTATTTCATCATCTTCTTTTCAATTTTCTGGGGGTCAACTCATGACTTTTAGGAGAAATTTCCATCTGATGATCGCTCTTGAAAATAGTCCTGAAGCCCATCGCCATTTTGAAAAACGATGCCTACACTCCATTTCAAAATAGAGGCTAGAGCACTTTAAAGGCCCTAATTTTATCCAAATTGAACGGAACTACAAGCTCACAGTCCTGGCCCACAGCATGTTCATGGCCCACAGCTTGTTCAAATACTGAAAATTTGGAGGGCATGTAAATCGTGATATGGCCGACGTAGGCACTTTTGGACCAATTTACTGGTCTACAACCTTGAAGTGTGATGATGGTTACGTACTTTGTATCGACGCGTTGTCAGCCCTCCTCCTAACGAGTCCCGAATCGTTTAGAGACTGGTCTCAACCACCGTTGACCGATCCTTCAACAAATCTGAACGTTCGTTTGTTGATTGCCCTCGTAATCCGAATCACCGACAGTTTGTGGGTTGTCTAAAACAAAAGAACGTGAGTAAATCATCCAACAGGATGTGGCTGGACTCATTATTCTGTTGGTTAAAACGTGACAGGTGACTTGTCATGCACGCACGGTATACGCTTAGGCTCATGTATTATTCGGGATTTCCACCCGTGCATTGCGTCGATCTGTTCAACTGGGCGTGGATTAAACCGTTCACCATTGGCTGAAACATGCCATGTGACTTTCTGTTGTCATGGTACTGACACATAGGCCTATGCGTAATCCGGATTGCCCCTTTTTGGGCTGTAAGGCCTATTTATTCGCCACGGATTCATCACAACTTCTGTAGAAAAAATCGTTCATTATTAGTATATCGTAAATCGTTTTGCTTTTTTGCTTCAATTACAAAATTGGGTTTGATGATGCAGATGGAAACGGTTTAGAATGTTTTAAAAACAAACACAGTTCCTTTTTACTGTCATCTATTATGTGAGCCAGGCAAGAATTAAAACTTAAAGAAATTGTACTCTTAGAGTTTGGAATTCGTTGGGAACGTTTGTAAAAAAGTTCTCTATTTTCTGTTATCGAAGTTTGTGGAGGGGCTAGTAGGGTGTACTTAACCCTAAAGGGGCCGGGTTATTTTGATCATCTATCAGCGGGGAGGGGGGTGGGGAGCGGATTCCCCCCCCCTAAGATCTCGGCCATCGAGTGACGAAACATTTTGAAACTCGGTACATGCATAGAGCAACTCTTCATAAACATGCCCAAGAAATGTCATGACCAAAGGTAAAATGGTTTGGAATTAAGGCTAATTAAATATTCATATGTATGAATGGCAATTCTGGTCTGTGTACACGACGTAATGTGGGAAAATGCAGTTTTCCCGGGCTGAAAAAAATTTCGATGCGCGACAACCCCTCGTCTGATTTTTATGTTTTTGGTGTAAAAAGATGTGCAAAGCTCGAGGCTAAAAAGTTGCGAAACAAAAAAAATTAAATGCTATCGCCGAAAAAAAGTCGGGGAGGAGGTATGGATTCCGCCCCGCCCTTTTAGGGTAAAAAAAAGTCGAATCTCAATAGAAATAAAAATATAACACACCCACACACTTTTTTATTTTTCCAGTTGAACTTTATTTCAAAAACAAGAAAGAAATTATACAAATAAAACAATTTCAGCTGGAAATAAATTTACAACAAATTTACATGTATACAAAGAAAACACAGTAATTTCAAACATAGGTTCTCTAGTGTGACCACCTTGAACCTGTAGCGTGATGTTTGTCGCAAAGACCCAAAAACCTGAAAGTCATGCATCATAGGCCCCTCCCCAACACGCCCTTAACATTCAGAGGTAGAGATTGAAAGTGTGACCGATAAAGCGCAGCTTGTTTTTCCGCAGGGCCTAGGCCGGGCAATGTGGCCATCCGCTTACGGTGGCATCGATTTTGTAGGCACCGGGTACGTATATAACGTTCGCCGTTTTTCAACGAATTAATTTGTCATCCCTTTATTTTATTTTTGACCCAAGATAAGCATTTTTATTTATGTTTGTATTCTTCTACCACACTCAACCGAAGCAAAAAGAAAGTCTCCACTTATACTTTTTGGTATAACTAAAAAACTACTGAGCACCGCTCGTTCAAATCGCGACTACTTGGATATTTTAGGCATCAAGCCGTACTCTTCATGTTGCGTCAAAAAGGATAACGTGTATAGGTAACGTATGGTAGTCGTTTAACGGAATCTACCAAAAATATAACTAAAATCTATTTGCAAGAACTCGCACACCCCATAATTAAATACCTCATTCAAATGTTATAATGATAAGCGGTATGTGTGGGAAACTGGAGAACACTTTACATATGTCAACTTAATTTGACTTTTTCAAAGAATGGCATTGAACTGGAAAGCAGATACCGATCTAAAACAACACTCTCTTGAAAATGTCAAAGGTAAATCATAAAAAATGGCACTTGCATCTTCTTGTTTTTCTGTACGCAATATTTTTTTCTCAGCTGAAGATACAGCTTGAGTTCCTAATGTAATATACCTGCGATAAAAATTACGAACAGTTTGAGGGTTTCTAAAAACTATTGCAGCCCTGTAGAATCCCCATTATTACTCAGGAAACTTAAACATTATGTCACCACCACTTGAGCTGATGCCCTGTTATATAAGATGCTGAACCATTCACATTATTGAGGGTGACTCAAGTTAATGGTAATATTTTCAACAAAGTGACCTGGGTGTTTAACCTGTCTTAGTAGATGTCCACTTAATTATTTGTGTCATGCTATTTTTAATAAAATGTTGATGTTAATTGAATCATTTTCTCTGACTTGTCTAGATGCACTAAACTTCTTCACAAATGAATGGGCTTGCACTGGTATCTTAATTTTACAGATTTTGTTGAGCAATTTAAAGAAGGAAATCGGCCCAGGAAATATAATCTTTACCATCCTCATTGATTTGGCAACACTGTTTTACAAACAAACCTACAAACAGCTAAGGCATAAGGGCCTACCGTTTTAGGTTATATATATTAAGATTTGCAATGAAATAATAACAAAAGTCACCGTAACATGCATCAAATTAATCTTGCTGGTGAAACAGTTAGCTATCAAAATATCGCCCTCTCTATTCACATAATTTGCAATATAACAATTGATTCAGTGCACAAATCAGCGGATTTTGCTGCTTAAATGTCCTTAACGGTTTTTTTTTTTGAGGGGGGGGGGTTAAATATGCCTAGAAACATAACATTATTTAAGGCATTTTCGTTGAACTTCTGTCATGATTGCATGCTAAGGTAGTACTAATAGAAATTATGGCGGCCATTTTGAAAGCCATCTTGGTTTTGAATTCTCTTGGATACCCTCTGGATGATAATTTTATCAGATTTTTTCTGCCTTAAAACATATGTCCAAACACTTCATATGAATTTACAACTTGCCTGGTTGCAAAGGAATGATAACATTTGGGGGCGACGCCATCTAATTGTTTGCTCCTCTTTTTGCTGTCAAATTTTGACCATTTTTTTACCAGCGTATTTGTTTTCAAAAAAATGTATTTTCATGCAGTATTGAGATAAACAATCCATAAAAATGCAGTTAAAGCTAGAAATTCGTTACATAGAAAATTCAATGTAATGGTGTTTCCCCTATAAACTGGTTGCTAAGGTTTTTAAGATGCTAAGGTATGAGGTCCCTCACCGCCCGGTTCCCGGTTACAGGGCGAATCGAGCTCGCCCGGTTCTCTAACGGTCCCATTTCGGATCTCATTCCTAAGTTTGGATCGTACATGTGTCACGTTCTTGTTAATAAATAAGCCAAATCGGAACTTTGCAGGAGAATGCAATGCTCAAATAAAAAGACAAACATAAAAATTGCAATGATTTTATTTTTGCTAGATTTCCCCTCCCCGACAATCAAATATTTTGCAAGCCGTCTAAACAGCATTGTTTGAGTGATTGGACATATCGGAATCAACGGCACCACCAGACCTCAACCAAGCTGATTTATTAACGTAGACCACAGTCATATACTCAACATATTTCGGAATCAGTTTCTTGAAAATGGAAAATAGGGCTGAAAACCTTATTAAAGAGGGGCTACAAATTTGCGATCAACAATACAAAAAAAAAAATCATCAGATATCCAACATTAGTATTTTTTGCGCTATTTTAAGTTGTTTATGTAGAGATTTTACATAAATAGTAGACATACGTATCACTTTTTTTGCATAAAAGAACTTTGTCTGGTAATACAAGGTCCAAACCGCACAGCCGCCATCGATCGGGCGACACAATCGTCGCGAATACCGCCTGGACGCCTTTCAAGATGGCGTTCGTGCAGTATTCGCGACGAGCCCTTGCCGATAAACGGTTAATTTTAATTTTCATCCAGATCT